TGACAAGGTTGAGAAACACTGTCCTAACCACTGCTGGGGAATTCTGGGAGTTGAAGTCCGGACATCTTCAAGTTGCCAAGGTTGAAAAACACTGCATTAGGGGATTAGTCCTTCCTATAGTTTGTTTCTCCAACTGTTGGGGGCTCCTCCCTCTCTTCTCTGATCTTCCCCTCGACCCCCCCCCCCAAGGTCACCCAGACATTCCATTGCATTCCCTTGAAATAGCTTCGCTTAGCAGAATCACGAATAGGTCTTTCAGTAGTTTAAGGGATTCCTTAAGAGGGATTCCTTCCGTTCCCTGCTGAGGGGTTGTGTTTGGTGTGGTTTTTTGCCCCCTTTAGGGCGTCTCAATGTGAAAAACGAAGAGCTTGATGAGATGATCAAAGAAGCACCTGGAGCAATTAACTTCACCGTCTTCTTGACAATGTTTGGAGAAAAGCTTAAAGGTAAGATCGGGGGCTACGATTCGGTTGCAAGCAGTGAGCCTCTTTGGTAAGAGGATTAAGCACCCACCCATGCAGAGAGAGAGAGACAGACAGACAGACAGACAGGCAGACAGACACACACACACATGAGCACATCAGAGAGCTTCCTCGTGTGGCTCAAGGAGGGTTTTTTATTCTGGTCCGCCTGCCCATTTATTTCCTCTGTAGCCCCAGCCTTCCCACAAACATCGCAAGAAGGGCCTCTTCCACAACGTGTTCAGCTTTCTTAGACTTCCTCTCTCTCTCTCTCTCTCCTCTCTCATCCCCCCTTTATTTCCTTTTAATTTTCCAGGAGCAGATCCAGAGGAAACCATCCTAAATGCATTTAAAGTCTTTGATCCGGAAAGCAAAGGCTTAAAGGCAAACTAGTAAGTATCTTTGGCGCTTCTCCACTTAAAGTGGTCAGAAGACCCCTTCCCCCCCCCCTTGGAGCCCTTTCGGCTTCTCTTCGCCCCCCCCCCTTCGTCACCTCTCTTTGGACAATCTGCCAAGATGCAAATGTACAATCAGCCCGGCTGCTTATCCTAAAAGCAAATGAAGAACTTTTTGGTGTGCTCCAGCCTGGATCTCAGAAATAAGAAAGCTGCCACTTCTCTTCTTCACATCCAGCGATGGGTGGAATGGAGACTGACGTTCCTTTGCATCTAATCCTGGTTTTTATTTTCCAGCATCAAAGAGATGCTGATGACGCAAGGAGAACGATTTTCAAAGGAAGAGGTAAGAGAAATTTGACGGCCTCTCTTGGGAATGCAATTCGGGGGGGTGCAGCCCGTTGGGACTGCCTTCGAAATGAAGGTTTGCAATTTTAGCAAGAGCCGCTGAGGTGTTAAAGCTCGAGAGGAAAAGTTCTGGCTTGTTTGTTCCTCCAGGTAGACCAAATGTTTGCAGCCTTCCCTCCAGATGTGACCGGTAACCTTGACTATAAGAATTTGGTGCATATCATCACACACGGAGAAGAAAAAGATTAAGAACTCGGTGTGAAGGCAGAAGTGATACCTTCTCTGGCCAGCTAAGCTGGGCTGTTGTGTCTTCCCTGTGTGTTGTCATCCTCCTGGCAGTCCCAGCCCTTTGTCTGTCCTATCTGTAGAAAGAATCCAACCATGTCTGGAGAAACCTATTTCTAAAATTGCCTTTGTGTTGAATTATTCAGAAAATCGGAGCAGCCCTGGGTGAATGATTATGGATGAGGGGACAGAATAAGCCATGGGTTTCCCTGCTGAGGCCAGAGCAGGGTGTGTTTCCCACTTAACACACAATGCTAAGAGGTTGCCCAACAACAGTATGTGGAGCTGAGCAGGAGGAGGCTTCACCAAGAGGACCACAAATTGGCCACTGCTGCTCCAGCCATTTCTGAAGAGCAGGGCTGAGGGACTATGACAACTTTACAACTTTACCCGTGAACTTCAACTCCCGGAATTCCTCAACCAGTGATGCTCCAGGTTAGGTTAGAGAAAAGCAAGATTCCGGCTTAGAAATAAGAATAAAAGACACCACACAAACACACATTACACAACCCAATCACCCCGCATCTTGAAAGAGAAAAGCATGAAAATTGGGAAAAGGCATCTCGTCTGATGTTCAATTGGAAGGAAAGTTGGCCTACGGGTGTTATCTAGGTTTGCTCACAAGATTTAGGTCCCAGTCATATATGCTGCTCCCCCCTGAGGATTTTGACCATCCAGGAGCAACACACCAAAGGAGAGAAAAATATGCCAGCTGTGCATCTTCTAAAAGCAGATAAGTAATCCTATATATAAATAAAATCAACATTCAACATTCAACATTGGTGGAACAAGGCTGATTCAGCCATTTTCACCAGGGTATGGAAATTTGCTAGGAAACCAACATATCTATGGAGGCTTCCTACCTGTTATGGCAATAGCAATAGCAATTATATACCACTTCAGTGTGTTTTACAGCCCTCTCTAAGCAGATTACAGAATCAGTCTCTTGCCCCCAACTCATTTTACTGACCTCGGAAGGATGGGAGGCTGAGTCAACCTTGAGACGGCCAGGGTCGAACTCCTGGCAGTGGGAATGCAGAGTTAGCCTGCAATACTGCATTCTAACCACTGCGCCACCACAGCTCTACTGATCTTACTCACCTACTCCCTCTCTCTTAATTTCCCTCCATTGAGTTGCATTTCTATTCCCAGAATAACCCCTTGAAAAGGTCAATAGGCACATCTCGCCTCCGGCTGATCATGGAAAGGTGAACCCAGGATCCCTCTCCCTCTCTCCCACCCACCCCAATACGTCAGCTCTGCATTAGTGCGAATCTCTTACCCAAAGGAAGCACTCGGCTGGAACCACACGGCTGTCCTTCTGGGGGGCAGGTAGGGCTGTCCATCATCTGCTCTCTCCAGGTCATGAAGTCAGCTGTGACAGGCAGGCTAGCCTAACATAGGTTGAGACCCATCCAAAGCCAGTTTGTGTTGAGCGTCTGGGATTGCAAAACCAAATGTCCAGGGACTATTAGCTTGGCGGTCTACCTTTGTGAGTCGGCCAACCTGAAATGCTCCAGCTGTATTGGGATTACAACTCCCAGGCTTTCCAAGAACCACACACATACACACACACACACACACACACACACACACAGGTGCAATCTTTATGGCAAGGCCTTTGG